CAGTATATGTTATGGTGTTGTATTTTATCTTTTATTTAAAACATCCCCTTGTAAAAGGTCAACCAATGAGTTGAAGTCTTCCCTGATTATAAAGTCTATAGATTTATTTGGTTCAATTGTGTGTGGGTGTGTGTGTGTGTGTGTGTGTGTGTACTCTCTTCTGAAGTGCTGATTTAAAAAATGAGTACAGAATGTTTACTTATCCTAGTAAATATGGTTAAATTAAATTGAGGCTGAAATTGCAAGCAAAAACAAAAAAAAGTTATTATCATTTATTAAGTTAAGTGAACCTTAACTTTGCAAAGTTAAAATTTTCTGTTCCTTAAATCGACCTATAAAGTTGAATGGTGTGTCTTTCTGTCTCTTGTTGGCTCTCAAATTTTCTCTTTTATAGATATTTTTTAGTATTTAAAGCATGAATAATAATAATAATAACAATAATAATAATAATTATTATTATTGTTGTTGTCCTTATTATTATTATTAATAATATTATTTATGCTTACTACATACTAAATAAAAGCTATAGACAAGAAAATGAGAGCCAACAGGAGACAGAAAGACACACACACACACCTTCCAACTTTATAGGTCGATTTCCCAAAGAAATATTATTATTATTGATGATTATTATTATTAATCATCATTGTAAGATAATAAACAATTTCAGATCATTATTTTTAGATATTAAACAATTTCAGTTAAGTGGAGCCTTTCCCCTATTAACCTTCAAGCTCCATAAGGTCCATTTACAGCAAAGCTTGCCATTTTCCTCCCTTTTTTCTGTCTTGCTACAAACATGTATCAGTGGAGAAACAAAGCTTACAGTCGTGAACAGAACTGCCTTTCATGCACTGTGAAAACGGGCTGGAAATTCGATTACAGGTGAAATGGCCAAACAAGGCAGGTTGAAGAACACAAATGAAAGATTTAACAACATAACTATTATGGAAGGGGAAAGATCAAACTTTCAACTCAAAATGTTAAGCAGGGCTATCAATGGTAGATTACAGAGATTACTTTCTTTGGGGATCTGTAGGGACTTCCTTGGGAATCCAGAGGTAACAAAGGAGAATTGTGAGAGCCAGAGACCTAACGCTGCTTAACCTGCCTGTGCGCGCTTGTTAGCAGTCTCTGCTAGAAATGTATCTTTTAAATGTATCACTGGTAACTGTTATCTGAAATCTCTTTCTCCCATTTCCAACACTTGTTTGTACAGGTGGAAAGGTCACTACTTCTGTGACCAATTCAGCCTGCCTTGGGAATCTGCGCTTGATCAAATGAAAGATATGTATGATAATGCGCGGCAATGTATGCAATGTATGGCAATGTATGGAGAAATACATATATAGAGCAGATAGATAGATAGATAGATAGATAGATAGATAGATAGATAGATAGATAGATAGATAGGATAGATCCAACAGATGCCCTGAACAGACAGAGGGGTTCTGATTTTTCATTTTTAGATAGATAGATAGATAGATAGATAGATAGATAGATAGATAGATAGATAGATAGATAGATAGACAGACAGACAGACAGACAGACAGACAGACAGATAGATAGATAGATAGATAGATAGATAGATAGATAGATAGATAGATATTACATACTTTCAGCCAATCACATTGCATTCCATGTTCATGTTGACAGTACAGGGCATGGAAAAGCTGATCAGCTGCTCAAGGGATCAATTCCCTCTAGTTGACATGGATCAGTGTTTTCCATTTAAACATTATTATTTCAAATGATAGAGCTGTTAAAAGAATAACTAGCATTAGGGAAATGAATGAAATGCGATTGAAACAACTGACACACACCAGTTAGAAAGTACTCATTATGGGCCTCCTTCATACCCACAACTATCAATGCAAAACAGTACGGGGTACAATTCGAAGTATGTGTGTGGTGGGGAGGGGTTGTAGTGGCCTGGAGTATGATTCAAATATCCAGTCCTGTGCATATGTAGTTACACTGTTTCCCTGCACAGCTGTATCAAGCAAACTCCTCAGTCTGATCTATCTTGCCCTCAGTCACCACCAGCAGCAAAGGTGTGGGATGCAGACCGCAGTAACCCCTAGCAACCTGGTAACAGATAACTGAAAGATGGATTCTGGTCGGTTGCCACAGGTTACTGCATTCTACCCTTCTGAATAAGCCTGCATGGCCAGTGCTCTCTGATACCCAAGGATGCTATTTTGGAGTTTGTTATCTTTTTATACTAATCTGCTACTTCATAAGGTGGATTTTATCATTTTTTACTCCTTTTTGGTTTTCTTTAAACCTCTCATTGTAGATGATACAATTCGACAATAAGTGTTGTTCTATTGGCTTATGACAGTCTTATGTGAGGTGGCACTAATGTCTATAACTCTGACTCCAGAGGTTGTACATGAAGGTAATGTCATTATGGCTGTGATGTGGCCACTATGGACTGTTCTGTCGGTTCAGTAGTCAAGCCATGTGCACAGAGAGGGGATGGGGGCTTTTCTTCAGGCTCAGTGGAGCAGTGAGAGGGGCTGATGGAGCGCTGGGCAGTACTAGTCGCAAATTTGCGCTCTGGGAACTCAACAATAACTTTGGAGAGTGGCTGGGTGTGTGTGAATAATACTCAGGAGCCAGAGGAGAAGCCCATGACTCCGACCCCCTGCTAGCATAGCAGACAGTCACAGGACACACACTGCTGGAGCTTGCCAAGCTGGCTGCACAGAGGATGAGCTGGTGCTGAGCCGGGGTCTCGCTTCTCATTGGCTCCCATTCAATAGGACGTGACCCTGACTGTCCTAACTGCACAAGACAATGGTCGCAGGACCTGTCCGGAGCACACAGGGGATCGCTCATCCTGTCCACTCATAAACTGCTAAGCATCTCTACTCCAAGTCTCACAGTTAAATGAGCCAACCTAAAGTCAAAGTGCCTCTGTGTAAGCAGCAGCCATCATCATTAGAGATTGGCAAAAGTGAAATATTAATTTTCACCAAATTCCGGTGAAAATTAAGAGATTTCAGCAAAATGTTCCCATTTCAAGAAATTATTTGGATTCAGTGCTGGAAGGGAAAATGGAGGTGTTTGTTTAAAAGGTTTTTAAGGTTGCAGTTGTATTTAAATGGCACCTGAAGGTGATGGAAGCTACTTTCAGCTATCGTGGACCTTGTGGCAAAAAAAAAAAGAAGACTCTCATTAGCCTCATTATTTTAACATTTTGCTCACAGAAAGAAAAAAAAATCTATAAAAATTAAAAATGAAAGCGAGAGTACAATGAAGATAAGGAAAAGAAACAAATACAGAGAACACCAAGGAGCTCTTTATAAATATATTTCAATATTTTCAAACAGCTTTCAGCCAAGATTCATACATTTGTCTACTTAGATTTAATTGGAAGAAGGTATGAACACATGGGTGAAAGTTGTGTGTATATTGTGTGAAAAGAATTATTTCATTAAATAACTTTTTTTACCTTCAACCAAACTTCATCTTAGCTGCTCAATGAATGAAATGGAGAAATTACATCACAATCTTTAATTCTGATCCCTAATCAGCCATCTAAATGCTAGAAACAACATTTCTGTTTTACTTACTAAAATGAAAGTGTTATATATTCCAACAGGGCTTGGAATATATGTATAACAGTATGTTCCACTTATGCTGTCGGGGGACAATTGTTGCAGGAAGGGGATAATGAGGGTAAGGGTACTCTGGGAAAAAGGTGTAGCTAGTCCTAAACGTTATATATTACCCCGATTCTGGGGAGAAAAGTGATGCAGATCAGACATTGAGGGTCATTTACTATGAGTAAAGGATGCTTATACTTATCAGGGGGAATAAAGAGAAGCGATGGCCACTACAAAACAAGTGGGAGGAATTTACAAAAAAATCAGGAGAGAGAGAGAGATATGACCAAAACATGATCTCTTGTAGGGGATGGGCAGAAATTATGTATGTGGTCTTTTTCTGGCGATCTCCCACACCAATTGATCATGTTCTCATGGCATACAATAAAGGATGAAGTTCTTGTCATCACATAGCATAGGGGATCATGTTCTGGCCACATCATATAATTGGTGATTATGATCTGGCTATTTCATATAAGTGATCATGTTCTGGCCACATCATATAATAAGTGATCATGTTCTGGCCACGTCATATAATAAGTGATCATGATCTGGCCATTTCATATAAGTGATCATGTTCTGGCCACATCATATAATAAATGATCATGTTCTGGCCACGTCATATAATAAGTGATCATGTTCTGGCCACGTCATATAATAAATGATCATGTTCTGGCCATTTCATATAAGTGATCATGTTCTGGCCACGTCATATAATAAGTGATCATGTTCTGGCCATTTCATATAATTGATTATATTCTGGCCACGTCATATAATAAAGTGATTGTGTTCCTGCCATACAGTATAATATAATAAATTGTCGCATTCTGGCCATCTCCTACAACAAGTGATCATGTTCTGGTCATCTCATATAATATGTGATCATGTTCTGGTCATCTCATACAACAAGTGATCATGTTCTGGCCATCTCCTATAATAAGTGATCCTGTTCTGGCCATGTCATATAATAAGTGATCATGTTCTGGCCATTTCATATAAGTGATCATGTTCTGGCCACGTCATATAATACATGAAAAAACAAAGCGATAATGGGACTTTAAAAGTGTCCAATGATGAATGTGGGATAACATGGCTTAGCTTGGTAACAAGACATGATGACTGGTCATAAATATATATAACATAATAAAGATTTTTATTTACATGATCTCAATATACTTAAAAACATTTCATTGGTCTAAAAAGTTACAAACAGTGGATAATAAAAAATTAAATATACCTCCCTGGACTTAGTGCAATTGCATGGTGTATATAATAATGATATATTTAGTAGTAATGGTCATGCATTTGGTGCGTGATTGTCCATACACATTTACAAGGCAAGCATATATTCATCTATAATTGCACTATGCCGGCCCTGGACGCGTTTTGCTCCCTGAAGCTTCCTCAAGAGATTTTTTGGAGGCAAAACTCTTTCATTTCTTTGTAGATCCAAAGCTGAGATAACTCGATTAACAAATATAATAAATAAATAGTAATTCTCAGTGCACATGTACAAATATCTACATTAATATAAGCTCAATCAACTACATACATACCCCGGAGGACTCTAACCAACCAAGAAGGAGAGAGGGTGGCGAGAACAAGTCGGCAAAAGAGCAGGGGGACAGCACATCTATCCTGGAGTTCCTACAATGGTTCAAACCATATATCTATCAAAAATGTAAAAGTTCAATCTTCTAAAAAAACATAAATTATGATCAAATTGATAATTGGCTCATACCAAGTCCACCCATATGGCATTAGTATGAGCACGAATGAAATCACATCCATGGATTAGAGAGAGGAGAAACGCAAGGCATTCCCTCATGTTGGTAAGTACATAGTGTCAAAACAAATCGTATCAGTTGTATCGAAATCTCATATATCATTGACAACTAAAATATGACTCAAATCTAAATAAATCCATTTTATATCCAACATCTCTCTCACATTGACACCACTGGATGCATAACTGGCCAAATTGCTCAAAATAAGTTGTGGATTTGTATGTAAAACACTCTTAATATCTAAATGTCATTTAACTACACTTGAATGCAAAGAAATATTACCTCATTGTAGGAAGGATTTCTCTCCTCGTGCTGTCCAGCCACCCCGCTCCAGCCACAGGTCTCTCCCAACCCCAAATATCCTGCCACATTCAATCACACCACCCCACTGGGTTAGCGTGTGATGCATGTGGCCAGGCTGGGCTAGGTTCGTCACATGCGCCCTAAATAGCGCATCTGGTGAGAGGTTCCCAGTCCAAAACTGGGGCCCCTCCCCCCTGGGCTCATTCACACATTGGGGCAGCTTTAAAATGGACTGCATGGCCCCAATACCCATCCACAACCGCAGATCTCTCCCTCTGCTAGTTGTGACCATACGACAGAGCCCAGGGATACCAGCATATATAACACTTCTCCCCAATTAGTCGGAGATGAAGCGAAACTCAGGTGCCGACCCTCCCCAATTAGATGTAGAAAGGGGATTAACCCGTTTGATCCTGGTCCCATGTCAGAGAGGGCTCTCAGGGATGCCGGACACATCCATGTCCAAGTACAATAAATTCATTAAAAAAAGTGCGTGAATAATGTAAATGTTGTGTATAAAAAAAAAATGATTAAATAAACCTAATTGATATTCATAAATTAGTGCATTGTAAATAAGTTAACCCAATACATATTCATCTAATTCAATGTCTGTGCCAACTCTGATCATCCCAATTCACCTGTTGCTTTATATGATCTATATGAAATTCCTATGAATACTAAGCTTTAATTTTCTTTTTCTTTTTCCTTTTCCTTTTTTAAATTATATTGTTATTATATACACCATGCAATTGCACTAAGTCCAGGGAGGTATATTTAATTGCTTATTATCCACTGTTTGTAACTTTTTAGACCAATGAAATGTTTTTAAGTATATTAAGATCATGTAAATAAAAATCGTTATTATATTATATTAGGGCTGGTAATGATTAAAATTTTTGTGTTCGATTAATTGAGATTTTTTTTAATCGATTAATTTCGATTAATTATAACGCACATACAGATCCAACTACATTGGCCTATGCACATACAGCACAGCAATGAAGTAATAAAATGAACTAGGATCACACTAATCCAGCACGTTATTAATCTCACGTGCCCCACGTGCCCCACGTGCCCCACTCAATATGGCCGTCGCTTGAGTGGGGCAACTCAGAATAATAACGTGCAGGATTAGTGTGATCCTAGTTCATTTTATTACTTCATTGCTGTGCTGTATGTGTATAGGCCAATACCTTGGCTGGCGCTCGTGCAGAACAAGTACTCACGGGCCCAAGTGGCTCCGTCGGCTAACGAAGGGACATTTGCTACCTCACCTGGCCCCCACAGTAAATCATCCAGCAGTGTCACATGGCAGACCCTGTAAAACAATGAATTACCTTGAATGCTGAAGGAATTGATGGGTCTAACGAAGGGAGGGGGGAGGAGTCCGGTGACGTCACGGACAACGTCATATTATAAGTGATCATGTTCTGGCCATGTCATATAATAAATTATCATGTTCTGGCCATTTCATATGTGATCATGTTCTGGCCATGTCATATTATAACTGATCATGTTCTGGCCACGTCATATTATAAGTGATCATGTTCTGGCCATTTCATATAAGTGATCATGTTGTGGCCACGTCATATTATAAGTGATCATGTTCTGGCCACGTCATATAATAAGTGATCATGTTGTGGCCACGTCATATAATAAATGATCATGTTCTGGCCACGTCATATAATAAGTGATCATGTTCTGGCCACGTCATATAATAAATGATCATGTTCTGGCAACGTCATATAATAAATAATCATGCTCTGGCCATTTCATATAATAAATGATCATGTTCTGGCCACGTCATATTATAAGTGATCATGTTCTGGCCACGTCATATAATAAATGATCATGTTCCGGCCACGTCATATAATAAATGATCATGTTCTGGCCACGTCATATAATAAATAATCATGCTCTGGCCATTTCATATAAGTGATCATGTTCTGGCCACGTCATATAATAAGTGATCATGATCTGGCCAGTTCATATAAGTGATCATGTTCTGGCCATGTCATATAATAAGGTGATTGTGTTCCGGCCATACAGTATAATATAATACATTTTCGCATTCTGGCCATCTCCTACAACAAGTGATCATGTTCTGGCCATCTCATATAATATGTGATCCTGTTCTGGCCACGTCATACAACAAGTGATCATGCTCTGGTCATTTATATTGTAAAGTGCTGCACAAACTGTTGGTGCTATATAAATCCTGTATAATAATAATAATAAGTGATCATGTTCTAGTCATATCATACAACAAGTGACCATGTTTTGGCCATCTCATATAATAGGTGATCATGTTCTGGTCATCTACTATAATAAATAATCGTGTTCTGGCGATCTCATATAATAAATGATCATGTTCTGGTCATCTCATATAATAGGTGATCTTGTTCTTGTCATATCCTACAAGAAGTGACCATGTTCTGGCCATTTCCTACAAGTGATCATGCTCTGGACATGTCATATATGGAGTGATCATAATCATGTGATCGTGTTCTGGTCATCTCATATAATAAGTGATCATGGTCTTGTTATTCCATATGGTAAATGGTCATATTCTGGCCATCTCATATAATAAGTGATCATGTTCTGGTCATCTCATATGGTAAATGGTCATATCCTGGCCATCTCATACAATAAGTGATGATGTTCTGGCCATTTCCTACAAGTGATCAAGTTCTGGCCACGTCATATAACAAGTGATCATGATCTGACCACCTCATACAACAAGTGATCACGTTCCGGTCGTCTAATAAGTCTAATAAGTGATCGCGTTGTGTTACATGCAGGGAAATAACCATGTGTCATGCTATAACTCTTTATACTTCCCTGGACTAAGTGGGAGAGGTTCGTACACACCAGCCCTATAAAGTGCTGAACTCAGGACCTGCCACTGATCATCCCCTGGAGTTGGCTGGAAGCTGATTAGACACAGACACTGATCTCTGCACACCGATCACACCCACCCTCACTCCCAAACACACACCGACACTGACTATTGCGCGCTCCCCATTGGCTGACAGCACGCGACACCCCGGGCTTCCATTGGCCGCAGTGACACGCGACAGGCGCGGGGCCTGGATCTAAGGCTGGGGGGGAGGGAGCAGGTGGGGGGAGGAAGGGGGGCTGAGCGGGGCGTGCCGTTTTTAAAGGGGCGCCTCGCCCGCAGCAACCGGAGAGGAGCAGTGTGCCCGCGACCTGTGTGTGTCCGCCGAGGCCCGTCTCAAGTGTCGCCATGTCCCGCTTACTGCCTGCCGACTGGTGCGAGGAGCTGCCCTCCGAACCCTACCTGCTGGATGCCAGCGACCCCCGAGCCTGGCTCTCCAGCCCCTCTCTGCCTACCGCTCCCGACTACCTGATGTCCCAGCCCGGCCGGAGGCACACGGTGTGCGAGCTGTGGAAGCTGAAGGGGCTACAGGTGGAAGAGGAGGAGGACGACGAGGATGAGGACGAAGAGGACGGGTGCCAGCAGAGAGCCCCGTCCGGGAAAGCCCCGAAGGGAGTCCAGAAGCAGCGCAGGCTGGCGGCCAATGCCCGGGAGAGGAGGAGGATGCACGGACTCAACCATGCCTTCGACCAGCTCCGGAATGTCATCCCTTCCTTCAACAATGACAAGAAACTGTCCAAGTACGAGACCCTTCAGATGGCCCAGATCTACATCAATGCTTTATCTGATCTCCTCCAGGTACCCCCCGATCACCCCCAACCCTGCCCTCCCTACGCCGGGCACCCAGCAGGGGAATCCAGGAGGTTCCCGGGGGACTATCCTCTGCCTCTAGACCCCATGAACTACTCCACCCAGAAGGCCATGTCCTCTTCTTCTCCACCTGCTGAGTCTTCAGGAGAAGAGAGCAAAACTTCCCCCAGAGGTCACAGAAGTGATGGAGAGTTCTCCCCACATTCCCACTACAGCGATTCGGATGAGGCCAGCTAAAAATCCAGTGTCAAGGCTGAGCAACATTTACCCACCAGATCCTGCTCTTCACCTGTCACATTGCCATTAACCCCTGCAGTGCCAGGCCGCTGGCAGTGAACGGGTTAACTTCTATATTATATATAGATGCTTATTTTTGTAGTTCTGATCCTGTTTTGTGTAACCATGCCATCCAGTCATGCCATTCTATCTAATTTTGCTCCCTTGATTGAGATATATATATAGATATCTCTCTCTCTCTGTATATAGAGAGAGATATCTATATGTATAGATATATATAT